TAGAGTGGCGCAGGGAGGATGTCAGAAGCAAAAACAAACAGTAAAAGCCCTGTTATAGGCCTTGAATATTTATACATCATAGAGACCTCTGCACTCGTAGCTTTGGACTTATTGACATATTTTATACTCTGTGTTTAAATACCCCTGTTTACTTCTCTAATTACTGTTTTTCCTTTCATATTTATTTTTGCATTTGTTATGTGAATTGTGGTGTTTAATAAAGGATTGATAAACAAGGTTTGTTACTACCATAATAACGCATAATGCATAGTTTATTGCATATGTGCAAAGTGACAGAACGCTTATGATGTGTTCGCCAAGCATTCACATTTGCTTATGAGCATTATTATAGTCATAGGGACTATTCACAGAACACATTTTTGCATTTAAAAACACAGTCACAGGGCAGTGGGTGTTTTTTTATTTAATGTTCTTTTAGCTTGAGCGCCGCGTTTTAAGAATTATGTGTCATGCATGAGCGAGACACTGCAAAAGATGTGAGATGCTTACACAGAAAAACAATGGAAAAGCAGTGCAAAATATCATTGTGAAGTCAATGTGAAGTAAAGCTGCATGTGTGCATGTTGAGAGAGTTTTTGATTAACATTTTGAAGTATAGAGTTCCTGTAACTCAGACATCAGACAGTAGCACATTACCATAGCACCACCAAGCTCATGGGTTCGATTCTGCATGAACTTGCTAAAATAAATAAAGTATAAATGTTAAATGGAATAATGTGTACTGATAAATCTGGTACAGTAAGGTCAGGAATGTGTATTAAGAAAGTAAATGGGATGGTTTTGGATTTCTTTACAGACTTTACAGAGAGCGTATCTTCCTTTCCAAGATTTCTCTCTTTAAATATACATGAACACCCACGTCCTTAAAAGCAAACCTGCGGTATTGCGACAGACTGGATAATTTGACATATATTTTAGGTTTTTAGTGAAATGTCAACTGGGTCAGATTTTCTGCATATGGCTTTGTACTTTGATCACAAGTTATTTTGCAGCTGTTCACGTGTACGGCTGCGCGACTGCACGCTCCAGTCTTCCCAGCAGACACTGCGATGGCCTTTTACTTCAAAATATGTTATTAGTTACCTAATAACTCCCAGGCCCAGAGAAAACAACATTCCTTTTATTTGAGAGATACATATTTATGAACTTGAAACATGTCGGTGTGGACATTTGCGACTGATTATACCTGCATATTTCAGAGGTTGAACAGTTGCTTCCAGATGTGCATTAGCGTATATAAGCCGCCCCACTGTTCTCTCTCTCTCACTCGCCGTGCTATAAATGATGTTTGTTTTCATTTCTATCAAAGCAATTACACATCGTTAATCACGAGGCCTGTTGTTTTAATGAGTTTATTTATCCGTGCCACCTTCGCGCTGCCCTGATAATGTCCCTTGACTTAGCACGACTGAAACAACATCTCCCTGCTGATAAAACAGACGACAAGTGCCGTTAGCATGTTGATCAGAGAGTGAGCTAAAAAAAGAAGTATGAATCTGAGAAGAAATCGTCAAAAATAACCCAAACGCCATTAATCATCCAGGTCGCCAGGGTTCGTCCAGTTTTCATGGTCCGCTTGAGAAGTAGGGGGGCTTTCTCTCGGCTTCAAAGAGGGACTTATTACGTTTTTTTATATTCAGCTGAGACCGCTGCAAGCTTTCTTTGAAGATTTGATCAGTTACTGATGTGCATTGTGGCTGCGCCGTGGTTCAAAGTGACACCTTTCTTTTGCTGGCCATTAAAGTCGAGATGGGAAAAGAATCAGTAAGTCTCCCATTTTTATTCCAATCACAGACCCCAAGAATAAGCTCATTAGTGCTAATTACAGGTTTCCTATTCCACCACGTTTCCTTCTACCCATTTGGTGTGAAATTTTAATTCCATAACAAAAACCAAATGGTGAGAACACAGAGAGCCGAGTCGCGGCGCTCCACAAGGGGCCTTCTGCGCCTTTTTGTTAGCTACAGGTAACCCTCCCTCCCTGCCCGCTCGCCTGCTTCCAGCAATTTGTTCTCCTTGATGAATAACAGGTATAATTGAGTGGCACAGTTTTCTCTGCAAAGCCAATCTAGAAGTTGAGGAAATCGCCAACTTCAAAGTGGGTACCTTACATCGACACTGAAGAGACTCCAGTAGGCGGATGCATATCACTTCTCGTACTCGTAGGATCTCTGAGTTATTCATATGCTAATTACTTTGCAGTGTGAGAATTACTCAAAGAACAATTTTAAGTTGGCTTGGGTCAGTGTAGCTTCCTAAAAAATGGTCAAGTTTGGAATTCTGGATTGTTTTTTCCTTGCTGATTGTTCCTCCTCCACGCCTGCTGTGATAGCTCAAATATTTACTAAATCACGGTAGGTGGCTTTTTGTCAGCAATGTTGTTGTGGTGACAGGCGGTTTTCTTGCATGCATGCACTGTGAACCCCAGCGTTCGGTGGGACTCCATCGAGCGGGATTACCCAGGGTGATTTGGCAGTGTTTCAGCAATCAGGCATCCTGCCACACAAACAGATGAAGTCAATAGAGACGTTTCCCCTTTCCTCTGAAATGTGACTCTGAGTCTGACAGATGCTTTGCTGACACAACAGTGACACGACATGACGGCTTCACGCACTCTCTGTGACTTCAGTTACTTATTCCGCCTCAGAAGCGCATGATTTAACACAAGATAAATGTTTGTCAGGGGTGTCACCGTGGAATACACAGAAAGTCATAGAACCGCTGTCCCGTGTGAACAAAACACAATGAAATATTCAAATGGGAATGTCTGATTTTGGCTTTCAGGAAACAACACAGGTTCCAAAAGGTAGTTTTCACAGTAGAAGAATGGTTCTTGGTTCCCAAAAGAACTTTAAGAACATTTTAATAATCTAAAGAACCTTTTCCACTACAAAGAACCTTTTGTGCAATGGAAAGCCTCCACGGATGTTAAAGGTTCTTCATGGAAACATAGTGTTTTTTATACTTTCTTTTTATATGTTAAAGGAATTGTTCGCACCCAAAAAATACAATTCTGCCATTATTTAATCATGTCTCAGGGCAGTGGTGCACCTTTCCATCATGAAAGATTATGAAAGAAGTCCTTATAACTTCGATTTGGAGAATATATAAGGAAATAACAATTTCACATTCATCTTCTGTTTCTCACACGATTATATGGCTTATAAGTCAAATTGAATACTTTCTTGGTTTACATAATGACAGTATTTTCCAGTCAACTGTTCCTTAAACAATAGTTGTAACTTTTAAAGTGATAACTTTGAAAGCAAGGTGGGTCAACTTAGCCCTGCTGATACTGAGTTTTACCTTTGGTGCCGGGTCTCAAAGAGCATCAGTATCCGAGTAATCACTGTCTAAGGGGCGCAAAGGCCGAAAGTTATTACCAATCAGTGGGGTAATAGATTCAACACTTATAAATGGAGAATGCAGCATTTCTTCGCAGCGAGGAGGGTCTTTGCAAGATGGATTAGGTGGGGTTTGTGAGTTCAACATTGACACAGATTCATCGTAAATCATTATGCCACAGACCTGGAGTGATTTCTGTATTAGGAGCAGAAAATGGAGTTCACCCAGTCAATGAGGAGGGCATATTTCACATCAATCACTTCCATGCTCATAGGCTTTATGCACCAGCAGCAAGGCCACCACGAGAATGGACTGAATCAGTTGAGGGCTCTTTGTGTATGTATGCGTGCAGATTTCAGACAGCTGAAAATGTAAAGGTTTTAAAGGCACTGAGTAAGCATTGATTCAATCGCAACAGAAAGTATAACTAATCCATATGAATTGGGACACGATCACGATCACTTCTTTATATGATGATCAGATTGAATTTAGGCTCTTATCCACCTATAAACATTGATCAGAGAACATAAACAGAAATTCAACCGAACCTGCTTGACGGACGAGAACAAACCTCTTGCTGAAGCTCAAAATGCTGCGTAACATGGGAATGAACGTCATTGGTTCTTGCGGAAGCGTAAACGTGCTGTGTAACCATAGACTGTGTGTAACACGAGAATGAACCTCGTTTTCGCTCTTAAAGCAATGCATGAGCTTCCGTTTAACTGATGTGTGAGTTGATGCATGTTTATGTGAATAAAATCTTGTTCGTCATGATCGTGTCTCTTCAGAAAATTTGTACTAAACTCAATTCATGTGGATTAGTTTTACAATCTCTTTATGAACGGTTTGAAGCATCAAAGTGGTAGTTGCATAGCCTATCAATGGAGGGACAGAAAGCTCTTTGATTTAATCAAAAAGATCTTCATTTGTGTTCCGATCGAAGATGAAACGAAAGTCTTACGGGTTTGGAATGACATGAGTGTGAGTAATTAATGACAAAATTTTATTTTGTATTTTTGGCTATCCCTTTAAATTTCCCTTAACCATAAAACACAAGGCAATGCAATAATAAACAAAAATGGCACACTGTGTAGGCTATTTTCTGTGTGAACTCTTCTTTGAGTGTAGATTTATTAAAGATAGGCTACTGTTAATATTTACCATATATTTATCATAAATAAGGAATCCTTTTGAAAACTGAAAAGGGTCAGAAATGGCTAAGTCTATTATTAGACCCAATAGAAAACTTTACAATAGAATAAGCGATTTATGCATGTAAGGCAAGCTATGTAGCCTACGTCTAATAAATAGACGTAATTAGAATAATTATTTGATATCAGGGCAATTGCCGAGTCTGGGAATATTTTTCATAGCAAAAAAAAAAAAAAAAAAACGAAATCAAGAAGTTTGAATGTTATAAATATTTAGGCTACATCAACAACTGATGCTTTCAAAAGCACATTTTTGGGAACAACAGAAGTCAATAGTGCTCCTTCAAATCGCTAGGTAAACAACACCCCTGCATGTCTGAGAGACAGACAGACATACTCTTTTATAAACAGTCTCACTTCACGAACAATTCACACAGTCTCGGCTGGAACTTCTGAATGTATGAATGCAGCTGGTTGTGATCATCGGAATCCGGATGTGATGAAAATGTTTCAGCTCAAAGTTTCTCCAGGAGCAGGAGCTCGAGCGCGCGGGACTCTCGCGCACAAACTCATTATCCAGCGTCTGCTTGACAGGGATTTTTTGTACTATTTTGGGGAGGTATCTGATAGTTTTTACGGAGTTTTGATTCTAAGCAGGGTATTAAGGACACTTTTCCTAACGGCACGCCGGTTTTGCCAGAAGAAAGGATGCGAATAAAGGAGTTTCTCAGTTGACATGTTTGAAAGGTAATCAACCAACTTTGAAATGATCTGTTACATGCTTGGCAAACAAATAATATTGACTTAACAAGTTGATAAGATATTTAGGAGTGTGTTTGCGAGATTTTGAGTTTCGTTAGAGAAGAACAAACCTAAGAAAAACTTTCCACCGAGTTTAACGACATTTCGCTGGATGACGTCACTCCATAGGAAAGATATTGGTCGCGTTTGTTTACTTTGACGCAGTGAATCAGCGATTGATATTATAATAATAGTTTGTTGTTATCTTACAGGTTTGAGGGCTAATTGCGTGGGGCAGTGTTGTTTTTGGGTGTGTTTAGTATCTAAACATCTGGCTCATGTCCTCGGAGACTATTTTACCTCCGGAGGGGCCTGAAGGGCCAAAAAAGCAGCTTCATGAGGAGACAAACCAACTTCTGTCAAAAAGAGGTAAGAGATTGATTTTCTATTTGTGAGATTCAGATTCAGTTGTATACCATGGATGCACTGACCAATTAGTGTTTAATACATATTTTGTAGCACAAAATGGTGATTTGTATGTTTGTATTGGCTAAGTAGTAGCCTATAGTCGGATGGTCTATGAAAAAAAGTGGGAGTTTTTGCACAATAAAGCAACATAGAAGCTTCACACTTGACTTTTTATTTATATTGACGCCATGACTGACAGTATTGCTTGTGTGTGCCTCTAAACAATTAATAATATAACTCAGTTTGATAATTTTAGGTCTTTGAAAAGTCATTGCATTTGACTTAAAACTGTGACAGATCATCTGCAAAAATGTGACACTGATTTTGAATGTATAGCAAACATGTTTGCTGCATTTAAAATCTTTAGAGCAGTTTTCTTTTTTAATTATTTTTTAACAAGTTAAATCTCTTGACCACATCCATTGGGATTATTTCAGGCAATTGAAAATATTTGCTGAATTACCTTATTGACAACAATTAATAATGTTGCCTTATTTGATTTATCTCCTGATTTTTACCTGGTGTCCCACCAGTAACTGACTTGCATAAATGGCAACTAGCAAACAGATTCCCCACATGTATGTTGCGCCAGTAGGCATGATAATGTTTTCATTATTTTCCAATAAAGATTGAAGGAGCGCCTTGGTAACTATTAGCAGGAACCACTGCCAATTATAGTTTTTAATTAACTTTCTAGTTGCTTGTGAGATTATCACATGTAAAATAAGCTTGGCCCCCCTCTTCTTCTTTTTTTTCTTAGGCACTGAACCGTTAACCATCCTATTTATACCAAGCATCATTATAGCACTGTCAAAAAATGGCAAAGTAGGACAAAGTAAGCAATCACAGGCTCCGGTGACAAATGGATTTTTGTAGGGCCTTCAAAGTCTCTCCGTTAAGACTGGATTTCCCTCCCCGGGGACTGTGTATGCTTAGAGAATAGAGCAATTTATTTCAAACTGTAATCACTAAATACAGCGATGCATCACAAGGCTGCTGGTACTGTATGTGCATTTGAGGAGTCATGGCTGGAATAAAGGGTTTCCATTCATCAGCCTCAAGCCCAGATGAAGTGATATCAATCTCTGTATCTAGAGCTACTGTATTGTATTGATCTTGTCCCATAATACGCTGTAACGAGGGCTGTAGAAAAAAAAAAAACGAACTAAACCAAACACTCTATGCTCGCCAAAAGTGAAAACAAGCTTCTGTTTGCTGAGTCACATGCTTTTTTCCCAGAATGCACTTGAGTGATGGAAAAGTACAGGTTTGTGCAACAGAACTGCGTTGACAATACTAAATAAATGAGCAGTTGCCTGCTGCCTCTGTACGTGTGCAGCCACATCGAGGGCCACCACAAATAGCACGAATCGGAGAAGCATACCATCTCGTTTACTCTATGGAATTGGGAGCTGAATAAGTTTAAGTGCAGCGTTTAAAGGTTGCCTATTTCTTTGTATGCCTATCAGGCAGGTTTTGCCCACATCCATTTTCCAATTTAGATGAATGCGCTCTTTATAGCTGTAAAAACCTTGGCAGGTGTTGTGTACCCAGGAGCAGAATCGAGAAAATGAGATCCAGAGTTCTGGCCTGGGCCTACCTGATCCGCCCACACGGTTTTGCAACTGTTCACCAAAGGAATCTGTTTTATCTGGCAAATTAGAGCTCGTCTTTCTTTTCTTGAGGCTTAGGCAAGTCAATATTGGCCTTTTGCATGCTTGGCTTCTGGCAGCTATGAATTAACGCAAAACTCAGAGAATTAAAATATGACTGTGTTTTGTTCTTTCTTTTTTTTTGTCCAGATAAATGCAACAGCTGCTCTGATGAATCCTCAGATGCTACAGAAACATCCCAAACTCCGATACCAGGAGATCACACTTCAGACGAGCAGGGTCACATGACAGGGGAGAACCACACCCATGATGGTCTTGTTAGAAGTAAGTGCTGACAAATGTGTTAGTCATGTCTACTTAAACACATGTTAGTCATACATACTTGACATCATTGGCTAGACTCCAGTAACTGTTGTTTTTGCATATTTTTGGCAAATATTGCCCGTATTGTCTTCACTCGACTGAGTGTGATTCATAGCTTTCACTTTCTATAACCAATGCAGTGTAGCAGATGCCATGTCGACAGAAAAAAACGGTTCTCTTAACAGTTTTATCCAATCAGAAATATCTAGTCTTGAACCTTTTTTTTTTTATCAGTCAGTGATGTATATGTGAAACTGATCTGTTTCCATATAAAGCATTTCATTTGTTACCAGTCTATACTTTACCATACACTTCAAAGCGTTTGTGATCCAATCTCATTTGGATTATCAACCTTTGTCAGCATTTTCTACAGTTCTGCGCTACTAAAAAAACTGAAGCTTACATCTGGAAATCACTGATGTGATTTTCAAACGTTTACTGTGATGATAATTAATTTCATTATTTACTGCTGCGCTGATATTCTTTGCCTTTGGGTGTATCTTTGATTTGAGATTATGATAATGCGTAATCTATATGTACAGTATGTAAGCGCTTTGCTCTGTTATTTTCATTGGTAAGATAATGCTATAGGTGCAATAGCACAGAGTCTTAAGCATTAGTTTTAGTGAAGTGTTGATTAAAAGAAAATGTACTGGATTTGAACCAGCGTCTTTGAATTTGAACCAACTTGCAGTGAAGTTGTTACTTTCAGTTGTTCTCCTGCCAAATCTTGAAAGCTTAGTGAGCAAGGATATCCCATTGAGGTTTGGCCCTTGGTTGGCCTGGATCTGGAAATCACGGCTGAGCACTAGAATGTACTCAAATAGTATCTCTCTTACCTGGTAAAGCATGGAGTTGCATCATAGAGACTTTTCTTGTTCTGCTCATATGGGTTTGTGTACCTAAAAATGTTGAGCTTGATAACATCTTGGAGGTTGTTCCTCCGCATGTGAGATCAATGGTGGATCAGCTGAGCTCAGTTGTTGAACTAAGTCAGGGCATTGTTTTAGGCAAATGATGTCAAATGGTTTCGGAGTGATGGAAAATCTCACTCATCACTACTAGGTCGGTTGGAAATAATTAGGGAAACAAAGATTTGAAACAAAGGATGTGTTTGGAAAATTCTCACCACTTGTTTCTGGAGGGGGGAAAAGTCCTGACACACCCACTTCCCACAGTCTCTTTGTGTAGAAATCTGGTGGACTGTGCAAACTCGTTCCACGGAAGATGCAAGTTTGCCATAAAATAATTCTCCCCTATCAACTTTTTTATTTAATACATTTATTCGCTAGAACGCATTCAATTGATCAAAAGTAACAGTAAAGACATTTATAATGTTACATTTCTATTTCAAATTGAAGGGTTAGTTCACTCAATAAATGAAAATTCTTTCATTATTTACTCACCCTCATGTCTTTCCAAACCCTTAAGACCTTTGTTCATCTTCGAAACACAAATATGGATATTTTTGATGAAATCCGAGAGCTTTCTGACAGCAACGTCATAACCACTTTCAAGACCCAGAAAGGTAGTAAAGACATTGTCAGTCCATGTGACTACAGTTGTTCAACCTTAATGTTATGAAGTGACGAGAATACTTTTTGTGCACAAAAATAACGACTTTATTCAACAATTTCTTCTCTTCTTTGTCAAGTCTCCAACGCTGTTCACGTGAGCACTATGACACGTGTGTGGTGCTTACGCAGGAGCCGGCCAATACTGAGCCAGCGTTCTGACGTAGAACCCGGAAGCACTGCACTGCACTGTGTTTACAACATGAGCCTCGTCAGAGAAAGGCTGAAATCTCTGATTTACCAGCACATGAATAATGAATGAATAAGCTAATAAAATATAATAAAATGGTTATTTTAAACTCCAATAATATTTTACAACAGTACTTTTTGTTCAAATAAATGCAGCCTTGGTGAGCATAATAGACTTAAAAAATCTTACAGAACCCGAGTAATTTGGTCCACTTTGACTTGTTTTAAATCTCAAATAATTATAAGTGATTGGATATCTGCATAAGGCTCTAGAATATGTGACTACGCCAGACAGCCCCTTATACTGTACATGGTAAAGTATGGATAGAGCAGGGCTGTAAGGCAGTGCACTAATTGGATTGGGAAGTATGATGTGATATTTAGAGTCTAGAGCGGGAAATCTATAGGAAATCAACTTGACTGGCCACTTTACAACAGTTTATCTTTTTTTATTTTTTATTATCATATTTCCATTTTAATTTGCTAGCTGAATTCACTGTCTAAAGATGAATCGCACTTATTCAGCACTGTCCGTTGACTTACATGGGCAGATAAAAATGGACTATGGTTGAATATCCTCTGCTTGAGTTATCGGTGTCATTTTTAATCGCATACTTCTCTATTAGGCTGCAAAAAGACAGTCCAGTAGAGACACAAAGAACAAACGCATTACACATTCAGTCTCATATGTGTGGGATGTGGCGAACCTCACAGCTGAACGACAGAAAAACTTGTTCTGGCCTGTAGGAATTTCAGGGTAATGATGTAATGATCAAGAGGTGTTTATTCACTGAATAATTCACTTGAATGTGAATTCATTTTTTATGTATATCATTCTGTACGATGACAACACCTCTGCGTTATGGCTGGAATTTTTGTTCTCTCACTCAGGGGTTACATTAGGTTCAGGATCAGGTATTTATTGTTGATTCATAATTTAGCTTTGCTGTTAATCCTCAAAATCAAATCATTGCTTCTAAGAAAGTACACATGCATTTCACCTGCATTCACTTTTGTAGAGTGCCTTTATTTCGATCAGAAAGAGTTGATTGATTCAAGATGCAAATTTTTCAGAACACGTGTTCCTCCGAAGCAAGAGCCCATTAGAACACAGGAGTAATTTTCAAGTGATTACTTAGCCGTGGGTCATGGAATCAAAACTGGAATAAATAGGGTGAAATGCTAGCGCAGGGGTTGATTAAAATGGCCATTGTGATTCTACCTCTGTGCTAATTATTTCCTCATTGTCTTGGTGTAGACATATTTCATATGTAAAAATTCCCAGCATTTCAATTAGCGTCCTCGCAAAGTGCCGAAGCCCTTTTGGAGCTCTGCAGATTTATGAGTGTAAAATTTATTTAAATTACCTCAGATAAGAGGTGATCTACACATCTGTGAGCTATAGGTTTCGCACACCATTAGCATTTCTGATTGTACTCATTGACCATCAGCTCGGTGTTATTTCTTTCGCAGGGTGGGCATTATGGGAAACGGCGCTGGGGTTTGAACTGTGCAAGGAATAATAGATTGGAAAGTGGAGTCTGTCTGTTAATAAGATGTAGATTTGAGGCCCACGCTTTGATTAACAGCACCGCGCTGCATCTTCGAGAGCGTGAACGCTCCCGCTGCAGCAACCCCAACACAACGCTGCCTTTTCCAGCCAGAAAAGCACTTGAAATGAGAGTTGAGCGGGAGGGATTACTGGCCCTCTAACAGGGTTTTGGCTTCAACATTAAGGTTAAACCCCTTTTCTATTACAGTGATCTCTCGTGATGTGCTCCCATCCTGCCCTGCATGTTTGCAGGTTCACCGCACCTCTGCTAGGTCATTCCGTCAGGCCTCTGATCACTGGGGGGTGACCGGGGAGCCACCGACTGACTCCATTCAGACAGTGCTCTCTGCCACGGCTAAAATCGATATGGCCATCTCCCTTTAAAAAGCCTCTCAGAAACAGACGAGCTCCCCTGTCCTTAAGCTTGATTCCCGGGCTTAAGGTCTTGATTGGCACCCCGAAGACAGAGTCCAGTGACCCACAGCTGTCACATTAGTGCAGTTAATGCTGAGATTGAAACGGAGCAAATAAAGGAACCTTGTCCATAGATATATATATTTTTAATAAACTCTCCTGGCTGGCTTTAGTTGCCCCTGGAGTCCCTCTGTAAGGCCTCCAAGAGATGGTTGCTGCCTCTTAATCCTTATGCAAGGATTATTTTTCTGTGCTTGATGTTTTTTTTTTTTGTTGAGATTGGTGGAATCATTGAGTCACCGATGTAACTGAAACAGAAAATACACCCCCAGACTCCTCACATCTGTGTTGCTGGGTTTTTTTGTTTGCAGTTGTCGGGAGGGAGGGTGGAGCACTCGACGTATGAAGTCTGGCAGCTCCCTCAGGCTCGGTCTGAGTCACGTCATAATTGATCTTTCGAGAAAATGTGGTAGCTGTGTAAAACGGCTAAATCTGTGCAAGATGTGCGTTTTATAACCGCGTTTGTGTTGAACCTCTGCGTTTATGGGATTCTTCCATTCCACTGTTATGGAAACGGATGGAAGGGAAGGAGTTGCAGATATGGATTGCTTGAATGTTGTTTCAGGTTTCGAAACAAGGTGAAAGTATAAAAACTGCAGTTTCGGCCTACTTTAGCAGCAACAACCACAAGCTCCTATAGTTCAATCAGTAGAGCATTGTGCTAGCAACAGCAACTTCATGGGTCCTATTTTCAGAGATAAGTTGTTTTGGATAAAAAGCGTCTGCCGTAGATACCTTAATTCTAGGGATGGTCACAGTGGTTGACTAATTGATAATTTTGAATAGATTATCCAGGTTATGTTGATCAAACTTTTAAAAAGTGCATCTTGATATGTTTCTATGTTGTGTTTGAGCACAAAATGTGCCTAATGTAGGAAATCCATTTGAAGTGTATGGTGAAATATCTAATCAGAGTCAGGCTAATCCAAAACCTACTTAATGCGAAACATCCTTAATATTAGTTAATCGATTAGTATCAATTTAAAAATATGTAGTTCAGCATATCCCCACTTCAGATGGATTGTGTCTGCTCCACACTATCATAAGGTTTTCTGGTGGGTTTTAATGATTTTGATGGCTAGCATGCCACATACTGCAAATGCAGATTTGAAATAGGAGTATAATAGATGAAAAGCTTAAGCCTTCACAATCTCTCTCCTTGTCTTTGGAGT